ATTATAAAAAATCAATATTCAAAGCGACCCAATTCATTTTCCCGAAAATTTGGGAATACAATAATTTTATTCTTAGTATTACACTACATCTATCCCAACTGATATACGTGTCCTTGCAAAAATGTTGATGACGTCATCGCAATTTTTTTTTAATTCCCACTACAAAAATGTAATGAGAAAAAAACACAATAGCCATGCAGTCGTCAAGTTTCCGACAGCGAGGGAAGTACTGTCTAAACTCTTTAGACCAATTTTTTACAGTTATAATTGTTTATGTATTTAAAAAAGTGTGTTGTATGTACAACCTCTATCTATCTATCTATATTAATAAAAATGAATCGCCGAAATGTATGTACACTCATAACTTCAGAACGGCTGCACCGAATTGGACGATTCTTTTTTTTACGTGTTCCTTATTGTCAGGACAAGGTTTATATGTAAGAAAATTTATAAAAAATAAGACGGCTAAAAGATTAAAAAAAAAATAAAAATTTTGCATGGGAATCGCCACTTCGAATGAATTTGAATAGTTGGCGTTTCTGACGGACCTGTCGCCTAACTGACGTGTCATACAAAACTATTTCTTCCGTGCGATTGTGAAAAGTATTGCATTTCAAGTCGTTTGTTTTTTCGTAACAAGAAACGTCGTTTATTTTAAGAAAAGTGTTCGTTAAAGTGAATTTAGTTACGCATTGCGAAAGTTTCTTATTAATTTTGATCTGCCATTCTATTTACGTATATTCACTTTGTTGGTTTCGACAAAACCTCAAACTTTACCGTTATTCGAGGATTTAATTTGAAATTTTCAATATTTTAAAATTCTCAAGACAAAATTTACAGATTTGATTGACGGTGAAAATAATTCTGTGTCGTTTTATGCCGAGAAGACGACAAGCTGACATACGTCCACGAAGTCAATCGAAATGTGCGACGAACTACCTCAGGTGCAAATCGCAATGATTTATTTCATGGGTAATTCGGATACGGAAGTTGATCAGCGTTGTGCTCATAATCAACATAATAGTCAAACATTGAAACGAGACATTGGGTGGTATGAATAAAACTGAGTAGATACTCATATTCGAAGTATGCAGTACCTACTCGCAAACATTGTATCTCCCCGGACACAAATTGAACATCTACGCGTTTTGTGAGCATTTAATCTAAAAATGAGCATCGGTGTGGCAAATGACTATTTGTCCTTATAAATAATAAATTAAATGTAATATATTTTTGTTTCCTTAAGAATACAAAGTTAACAAAGTTAGTTGAGTTACAAAAGTCTCTTTTGCTCCACGTTGGCCACCAACGAGCGATTTTCATGATTTTTGTGAAACTTTGCTGGTTTTGAATTTGAATTTTCTGTCCTCGATAGTTGATGCTCAGCAAGAACCACGGGAAGGTCTGGAGCAGATCTCGCTAGGAAAGGAGAGGGCTAGGAATTGTTAATGAGGGATAGAACGTTATACAGTACAATACAACGGAAATACAATACAGGTACCTACAATCTAGCTACAATACAGAATACACTACAGATACAGATACAATTCAGATACAATACAAATGCAAAGTTAGTACCCAATACACCACCGGAAGAAATTGCACCAAAAATTGAGAATGTTGCAAAATGAAAACCCAAGCAAGCACACCGATGGAACTCGGGACGAAATCTATTGGTCGCAGCGCTCACACGCCCAAGGGAGAACGCAGCCGCATAAATCCAAGGTCGTCTTACCTCATTCTCAAAGAACGATGCAACCCAGCGTCTAAGGGCCAAAAGAACCCCCCCAGGCCAAAGCGTCTGACGACATGGAGAATTCAAACCCGGAACCAAAGAATGCACTGTTGCAAAATTAATACCCAAGCAAGCACACCGATGGAACTCGAAACGAAATCTATAGGTCGCAGCGCTCACACGCCCAAGGGAGAACGGAGCCGCATAGATACAGGGCCGACTGACCTCATCCTTTTAGGATGATGAACCTCATCCGTTTAGGATGATGACCCAGCGTCTAACGGCCAACAGAACCCCCCCAGGCCAGAGCGTCTGACGACATGGAGAATTCAGTCCCGGAACCAAAGAATGCACTGTTGCAAAATTAAAACTCAAGCAAATGCACCATGAAAACAAAGCATTTGCACCACTGGAGCTAAATTGGCAAGACCCAAGTTAAGTTAGTAACACATACAATATACAGTACAAAATGCTTCAATTATAAAAGTTACAATATACAAATTTCTCCACGTTTGCCACCAAAGAGCGATGACTTTGCTCGCTCGTTGCTGTTGCCCAGCAAGAACCAAACAATACGAGGAGGTCTGGAGTGCGTCTTGCCATTAAAAGAGAGGACTAAGGTTTGATAGCATGGGTGAAGGACACCGTATTTTGTAAATTTGGATGCCGTACTTTAAAAATGATGAATACGGTATTTTGTGAATTATGAACGCAGTACTTTGTATATTCTAAAGGCGTACTTTATCAGTCCTGAATGCATGTTATTAACAACATATTTAAAAAAAAATCGGGCATTTTTGGAAAACTATCCACTTTCCTTCGTGTTCACAGCACTTAACACAAAACATTTTCGCTAATATTTATTAATAATAAATTAGAAATTCGCGAACACGTGCTACTTTTAACCCAAAACGAAGCTCCAATGTTGCTGCTACCAGACCGGAATCAAAACTGAACAGAAAGGATCGAAAATGTGACCTTTTATCTGGTAGCTCACGTGACAGTGACATCATCGTACGTCACGATGAGATTGCAAAAATTATTTTTCATATTTTAGATCAGAAATTGTACATTTTCGGGGTTAATTTAACAACGTTTAAACAAACTAATTTGTTTTTACTAACCTCGTGTTCTTAGGAAAACGGATGCGCCTTTAATTTGGAGATAATTATAAAAAGTACTATTTTCCTCGTTAGTAACACTTTTCCAACCATTCAGCATAACTGATGTCTCGCCCGCTTTATTCGAATTTTTTGTTCTTGTCAATCATTCATCAAAGTATTTGTAACCCCTTTCATACTTTTCCTACTATTTCACGGGCACTACATCCGCAATGGCTTCTGCAGATTATCTGAAAATGCCAAGATCTTCAGAATTATCAATTTTTTGCTTTTTTACGTTTTTATTTGATTATCATGAACATACTTGTTGTTATGGTAATTGTGCAGCACATTTAACGCAAACATAATTATCGTAAATTGAAATCTACTTTAGAAATTCTGTTTTAAACTTTGAAAAACTGAGTACACGAAAAAATAACATGTTCAACACATAAGAAAAATGTGTTTTTTCTTTTTCGCTCCCTTCGATAGTTAAACCTTCCATTAAAACGACCTCTTTTTACTACTTGTAAAACAATCTATTATTAATAGAACAAAAAATGGTTTCGACACAATTGACAAAAACATTTTACCACATAATCTGAACTTAAAAATAAGAATTTTTAATAACTACTAAAAATAAATACAATGTACCTACTATTGAACCGTGTGTGTGGATCATTTTTAAAAGTGGCCATAGGGATCTCCATGTTAAATTTTATACCCCATGTTGTTATTAAGTTTGATTGTTTTGCTTTTAGGAAGACATAACGAAGGCACAGTTCCATACTTTAGTTTTTTTTAACCTTTTTTAGGGAGATAATTCAAAAGTTCGTGTTGCAAATTTCGTCCAAAATCGTTTTCACTAAAATGCTGCCGTCACCTCAAAATTAATTTTGCTGAATAAATCCTATCTTAAATGTGCAAAATTTGATTAGTCTGTAGTTGTGATTTGACATTACAATGGTACATTGTAAAAATAACAGTGTTGTATCTCCAAATTTTCGGGAAAATGGAGTGAACTATTCCTGATTTAATCAATATAATAAATTGACTCATTCATTTTTTTTTGAGCGATCAAACTCTAAAAAATATGAATGCAATAATAAATCACAAGTACAGACTCATCATATTTTGTACATTTTAGATAGGACATATTCAGCAAAATTTTGGGGGATGAGCAAATACATTTTGAATAAAAATTTACCATGCTTATGTATGATAACTGTAAAACATCTCCAAGATTTCAAAGCATTCGGTTTTGCAGATTCCAAATTAAATTGCAAAATGTTTCATAATTTTTTTTTTTTTTCAAAAAATCTGGACGTTTCACATGTGTAGTTTAATCACGTCCGCCATGTATAGTCGCAGAGGTGTAATTTATAAACTAAACTACACATTTAGGAGTATGTTATTTTATACAATTTAAAACCCATTTACTATGTACAATTTTGAAGTGACGTCATCACATTATTGGTGAGGATGATTAGGCAAATTTTGGTTAGTGTTTTACCACCTACATGATATTCCTAATATAAATATAAAATTTCGCAACAATCGGTCCAATACTTTCGGAGATTATCTGTCTAATAAAAATCCGGGACGGCAGACAGACGGAAACGGGAGACCTATTTCTTCATCTTCTAGGGGTCATACAAGGTCGAGAAAATGTAAAAGTAGAGAGTCGGCCGACGGATTCGATTACAATACTTCCTTTGTAATGTATCAATTTTTTCAGTAAAAAGACTGAAAAAATTGATACTTGCACACAAAACATTAATAAAATAATTCTCGCAAACACAGAGCACGCTTCTCTACCTGGTCCTGGTCCTACTTTCAATACCGCTTCGCTTGATTCGGCTTCATCTCGCTCCTGTGCAGGTGTTTATTCATAAATAGAAGGGTAATAAACATTACTTGCCACTAGTATACTATCTTCCTCAGATTTTACACTATGCCAAGAGTTCACACAATACTAGTTCACATCCACTAAATCTTAAATCATTATGAATTTAAAACTTACGAACGTCAACTGATCAAACGAATGTCTTATACGGTGCAAGAAAAAAACAGGAACGCCAAGAATTTTCTAAATCAGGTTAAACATTGTTAAAACACATGTTAGTGAGATACAAGTGGCAGCGGAGTGTAAAAAACAATTTGCATTTGTTAAAAACTTTTATTTAAAACTTCCTTAAACATTGTAGCACAATGTTCCTTAATTTAGTTCTTAAGTTATCATCCCCATTACATACTACATGTGTGCTGTTATCTTCCAACTGGATCAGTGCATCTTCGTCTTGCTATAACAAAATTTTAATGTTGATACTTGCTTAAAATTGTATTACATCTTACCAAATGTATAACAATTACTGAACCATGTGATTCAACTTTTGGTTCGTTAATTCCTTCTTGCATTAGTTTTTGTAAAAAATCGTTTAGAATTAAATTACCCCATTCATACTTAACATATTTTTCAGTCTTATCAATGGCAGAAGGCAAATCCTTCAAAACATAAAATTAAATGGTTTTAATGTTAATATATATAGGATGTTTTATCTCATATAATCTGTGTACTCCAAACTACTACCCGCGTCAGCAATAAAAGTACAAAACAGCATTTACAAAAATAGTTTTTAAAGTTGTTACAAAAAAACAGAATGAGCACGAAGTAAATAATTATTTTGTTCATACAACAATATTCAATATACAATTCGAGTTCTGAACATTGATGAAATTAATTTTGACAGATTAACTGAGATGCAACATTTTCGGAAACAACGTATACCTTTATATTATGGATATTATCCTTAATGTTCAAAGTTCCTGTTATAGTTGACAGACAAATACCTGGTTTTACTTCTAACGGTACAATTTTTTGCGCCACCCCTGTCTCAATAAAAACTTGAGCATGTTTTCGTTTTAAGGGTAAGTTAATCACTTCTCCCCATTTGTAGGGAATTAATGTACGATCTGAACTCGTTTCAATCACATAATCTGTCAAATTCGGTGCAGAAACGGGCGGTTGTGTGTAACACTCAGGGATAACGAGAGTGTTCGGTTTTAAATCTCTGATAAGCTTATTCGCTTGTGTGAAATTTAGTGAAGTGTCTATAGCACAATGGGCAACCTTCATTTGTAACGGCTGATACGGAGCTAAGGCTTCAATGTAGTCAAAATCTGGTTCTGAAATATTGCAAAATAAACTGGTGTTAAAATTGTAAATATTATTTTCATTCAACATATCGACAAAAATTACATTTCATATCGAGATTTTCAAAGTAACAGGAAATTAATTCTCTAAACTTAAAATATTTAAGATGAATCGACTTTTTCCTTCGATCGTTCATTAATGAAAGAATGTGGCATGAAAAATAGATATTACCTATTAAAAGTTTGATGTAAAAATGACTTTAATTCATCCTTGGTATGTATTACTGAAAAGAACGGTAGTAGAAATAGATATTATTATCGAAGTATGTAAGGAACTGCGTACATTAACTCCTGACGTTTTTCGCCAGCAAATATACTACCACATTCCCAATTCACAATTTGATTTTATCACATTGTTTGATTTCAGTTTTATGTGCTCACTTAATCTTCGACATGGGCAACTTCATTTATTTCTGTAATCATCCCATTTAAAAAAAAGTTGCGTTTTCGACGTAAAGATACATGTTTATTCTTTGTTTTCGTTCACAAGTTTCGTGAATTTTTTTCAAAAAAAACTTTTATATCCTCACTAGCAATTAAGTTACAACAAATAATATGCTTTATAGATGTTTTAATGCCGTATAGAAATTGGTCAAGAAGATAATTTATAATTTTAAAAATTAACTCAGATTTCTTAAAATATGGTCTGTTGTTCCCTTTTATCTCGTTGGTAACCTTCCCTCACGACAAAGTTTGGATTTACTAAGATGAGGAATTTTATACTTAAAATTAAATAATAAATAAATTTATTGCCCAACAGACTTTATCCATTTATAGGACAATATATAGGTAAAGTAAAATAAGATATAGTTATATAGCTATATAAATTAGATTATTATAATATATTATTATTATTTATTATAATAAATAATTAATTTAATTTAATTATTCTTCTTTGTAGTAATTTTCTTGGTCACTTTTTTAACAGAAACGAACGTAAATCTCAGTCCACTATTTATATGATGTTCCATTATTAAAAAAAAAGTTGCAAACAAAATTAATTAATTTGCTGGTCATCACTCGTTAATTATAATAATTTTGTAAAACGTATACCATATTTTCGGACAGAGGGAGTATTAAATTTCGTAATGATCACCCCCATAGTTTCTGAAATTTTCTGTCTACTGTAAATTTCAACAGATGACAGACAGACGGAAACGGGCGACGTACTTTTTCATACTTTAGAGGTTATGAAACATCGAGAAAATATGAAATTAGTTTTCGATGGATGGAACCTATTACAATGCTTCCCTACCCTACACTTGGGAAGTAAAAATGTAATGTTACCTTATGTTCGCAAGTTTGTTGCAAATTGTAAATTAATTGAAAGTTTTATCTCCTATAATATTGAAGATAGTTCTCGGGTGATGTGTGATCGAGATACATCGAGGCATAACTGCCCATTGGTTAAACAGAATAGGTTTTCCCCTAATTTTCCTTTCAAATGGTCCTAATAATAGATAATCCTACTCTTGGTGAGCTGACATGTCGAAAGATACGCTCCTAACTTCTTAAAAAAATTGGTCTAAAGTTATGCAGCCACAACTTCCCTCGCTCCGGAAGTACAGACGAATAAATAGAACGTTCGAAAAATTATAAAATTTAATTTTGCGAATTCAATTTTTTTTTTTTGATAATCCCTATAAGTTAAAATAAAAATATGTGTAGACTGTTACAATACAGGTAAAGACAGATGCTACTCGTATCCGTAGGTGAGTATTTCCACGACAAAATTTTATGATTATGTCATCAACATTTTTGCAAAGACCGTATATCAGTTTGGATAGATCAAGTGTAATACTAATAACAGCAGTACAGTATTGCCACATGTTCGGGAAAATGGAGTGAGTGCTTCTTAACTTAATCAATACAATAAATTGCCTCGATCATTATTTTTTTTTAGTCATCCTGTATAGGTAACTCTAAAAACTATGCGTACATTGATAAAGCACAAATGTAGAACCATATTTTGCAGATTTTAAATAGAATTTATTCCGAAAAATTTGGGACGACATTGTCAAGGACACATGTTATCAAATAGTCGCAGTGAAATACTAATAACAATACTATTGTATGTGGGTGAACCGCTCTCGATTTGGCCAATAAAATAGACTGCGTCATTCATCAGTTTTTTTGAAAGGGTCCAGTTGTTACCCAAGTAGGTACCCAAACACCAAAAAGGTCAGGACCGAGTTACCCATCCCCCAATACCACCAGGATGCCATAAAGAGAATAAGAGCTTAGCGCTAACATTACCATAAGTACTAATTTTTTGTAAAGCAAAGTAGGAGAAACATTATACAATTTTAATATTTTAATTCAAAATAATGCACGGAACAATCGTAATGCTTTGGTATCATATATTTTAACAGCATTATTTACGCTTCTAATTTTAATATAATTGTCTGTTTGAAAATTTAAAACATCTAAAAACTAATATATTTATGTATGTTTGGAAGTGCTACATAAAATCAGGATTCTATTAGGAATACATTGATTTACAGGATGTTCATTGAAAAGATGCCGAACGTTCTGATATTTTAGATCAGGTTTGTTAGAAAAATACAGTACTATAGATACAAATATTCGATGCGCACAATATATTATACAGCTGGTTTCACAAAAAACGGGATAAGATGAGCAAATCAGGTTTTCATGGATTAATGAAAAGCAATGAGAATATGACGTCCATGTCACTGTCATTTTCCCCGTTTTTTGTGAAACCAGCTGTATTTATGCATACTTATTTCAAAATGTATATGACAAAATTCGCAATTATGGCGGTAAATCAACTTGTGTGGCATAATTTTACTCAAGAGGTAATAATACAAACCACTGGATTAGTATAGTATGTTCCAATAAGTGGATCAGGTTTTATAGAAAGACGTTAATATATAGTGATTAAAAAACGCCATACCAACTCAACGAGACATTACTACGTTCACAATTGAGAAAAGTCATTAAATAATTTCTTACGTCAATTTGACGTTCACTTATAAAAACAAAATATTAACCGTCCAAATTTGCGCAAAAACATAATGCACGGTATAATACCAGTTGATCATTTGCATAAGATATCCCGGTCGTGGTCTACTTGATAGGAGTGCGGAGTTCGGACCGGAAGTCCAGGGTTGTGTCCTACCTATGTTGATGACGTCATTACAAATTTTAATTTGACCAAATTAAGAACGAGTCACCCCATTTTCTCAATAATGTCAGAATACGCACATCTTTATATATTAATGATAAAACAAGAATTATAATATTCAGAACATATTATTCGATTGTGATTTAATTAACAATTTTAGTCCTGTTTTGAGGAGACAAGTCATTCAAATTAAACGAATTTCAACGTGACATTCTTTCGACGTATAGAGAAGAATAGTAGTTACATGTACACTGATAATAATACACTCTTTTCCGTTTGTTATTTGCTTTGAACATATTTCATATTATCCGTATGTCTTCGGACGGCATCTCCTTGAAATTGGCGCCCCTGGTTTTTGATATATGAATATACAGGTTATCAGAAAACTATTTTTTTTATAATTTTTCAAAGAAGCGGAATTTGTTGGACTGTACTTCGATAGCGAGGGAGGTTCTGTCAAAGTAACCTTGGATCAACTGTTTTTATAATATTACAGAATGAAAAAACTATGAATAAAGTCATGAAAAATGATTTTGAATAATGGAAATCCGATCGATTTCATGTATCCTACAGTCCTTAACAATGTGTTATCGAGTTAGTGCACTATTTTTGAGTCAGGCTCTATAGAACCAATTTATTTTAACGACTACCTCAGAAACGGCTCACTAATAAGAAGATATTAAGCAGATCTTTACTACTCCTGACATGGATATGTTTTGGAAATGACTGAAATTGTTTCTATATGACTACACGTTTTGAAACAAACATCACTTTTGCCGAGCAGCATAATGATCTAAATATTTGTTAAATTATCCATAACGCAAAATACCCTACTGAAACGGTTTAGATTCTGCGATGTACTTTTTAATTTTGTAAAATTAAAGATCAAACAAAAGTTGCTCACTAATAAGGAGATACAAAATATTTCTAATCTTCTAAAAATATTTTTTTTAATAGTAAGAAATTACCTGTGAAAACAATGCAGTTTCTTGGATTATTTCCCCACAATTCAATGAATTGTACCACATCGCCAAATCTCAGTGATGGATGGCCACAAAAAACCACACAAGGCTAGAAATAATTTTTGTAAATAACAATCATTTATATTGGCAAAAAAAAACAAACCTCTTGGAAATCTGTACTAAATCCATCTGAATAAATATGTTTAAAATGCTTCAGTTTATTATTTTTTACTAATAGTCCATGGGGGAATGGTTCTTCTGTTACATAAACTTTATTTTGCTTCACTGAAGATAACCATTCTGCTAGAATATTTGAATAAGCTAAACTCGTGTCAGCTACAGGAGAAATAAAAAACATGGGACAATTTGAAACTCCTAAATCTTGCATTTTAACTGACAGACACTCAAATAAATCATAAACAACTCCTGTTGGATAACATGGAATTAACACATTGCCACCTCCACGAAGAGTTAATCCAACAACAACACACAGAACGCCCAACATTGAGTCTGGATTGCTAATGGGTGTTTGTGTGAGATCTGTCATTATTAAAACATCAGCGTTTTTTAAGGAATGATGATCCATGGGTCGTGGGTGCGTTGTCAAAGTACTTGAACCACTTAAGTAAACTATTTTTTCATGATCTGACGTAATGATCCAGTTAGAAGACCCAAGGCAAAAACCTGAACTAGATGGCATTACATTTAATGCTCCATATATGTCCTTAAAAAAATAGGTACTATATTCAAAAAATATAAACCACAATTATGCACTTACAATTTTTTCATTATATCCTACCATTTGTATCCTCGAAAGACTCACATTTACACTGTTCATATCATATAATTGTTTCCAAGATTTAGGTTTAAATGAATCACTCAAAGGGTATGGTAACTTGTGAATAAAATTTTTCCACTGAACTGCCAAATTAGCTTTAGGACATTGCTCAATGTAATTAACAAGTTCCTCTAATAATAGCCTCCCTATGTGAAGCGTTGGTTCTGTTGCATAAACTCTGCCCTGAAAACCTGTTTGTTCTGTAATGAAGGGCAATGCCATCATACACAAATAATTGGATATTAAAATAACATCCACTTGTGCAAAATCAATAAGTTTGTGCAGGGGAGGACAAAACTCTGGTGGAGAATCAACAAATACTCGATCCCCGTTCTCTTTCAATTCCTAAAATTTGTAGTCAATATTAAAAAAAAAATATGGCTTTGTGAATATACCCCTTCCAAATCAGAGTCAGCGGCATCATTGGGCGTCCAGTTTGGTAAATTGAGCAACCTGCTTGATGGAACAAAGGACAAAGGAACAAAACTGAGGACCGATTGCATAGAAAGACCACAGTCCAACATCAGTGTAATTTCCTTGAATGTTAAAACGTGACATGGTTTGTTTGGATCGTTGCTTAAACAATACTGAAATTTTCTATTAATAAATAAGATGATATTTTAACAAAAATAATACCAATTTCATTTCTGACCATTAGCACCTCACGACAAGACGGGAGTTTTGTATTTTGTTAATCTCCGTTAATATATACAATACAGCTGAATCGTTAGTAATAGTGGTAATAACAGAGAATACAATAATCAATTCGTCGAGTTGTCACCTAACCTCAGAAAAACTGTGTAGAAAAATAACTCCCAAAAATAACCTACCTAACCTACTGAACCACCCGAACCAACACAGGCAGTGTTGCCAGAGTTAAATGATAAAATTACGCTACATGTCGTCGAAAATTCCGCATATACTGTGATTCCGCTACAGGCCGCTACAGGCAAAAATCACGTCGTCACAGGGGGATGGGGTGTTGATAAGTTGAATAGTTAAAATTTTCGAAGTTTACACTCGCCATTCAAAATAACATTTTGTATAAATACAATATAAAGTGCCAAAATGCACAAAAAACCCTCGAATTTTTCAACTTTCAGGTCTTAGAAAAATTCCGTTATATTTTCAGTTTTTTTGCGCTATCGCCGCTACGCCACTCTTTGGTCAAAATTCCGCTACGTCTGGCAACACTGTACATAGACCTACCCATAGAACATTCAATACAAGAAATGCAAATTCCCTTGTAACGACTAAAAACCATTGATCTAATAAAGGAGTGGATGGAGCCTTGTATACGTTTCCATACGCGCGCGAGTGTAATCAACACAAGAGAGAAATAGGTAGAGCGGTTATGCATCAGTGGGGTAAGGACGGCCGACTACGTGTCACGTGCTGGGTGGCAAGAAACGCTTCATTTGAACGGGAATTAGTACGTTTTCTTACGAATTTGTTCAAACAAATAATTATAGCAAACGTTTGTCAATAAAAACTATCTTTTTATAGTTTATATTAAAATTATATGTAATGTGAAATAACAAAAATCATGTTAAGTGGTGGAATGGTGGAGATAATCTTTTAATTAAAATGAACGTAACAGAATGTACAACACATTACGAATTCAGTTAATACAATAATCTTCTACAAGTTAACCAATGTTATACAGTAGCGGTCATTTCTACGGAACCACTCGATAAAAAGTCAAGTTGGTAGCCCTGTCATCTAGTACTTTACGCCGAACGCAGTTGGTAGCGGCAGTTGATATGGCAATCGAAATTAGAACAACACGAATGTTTCGGTTGCCCTTAGCTATGCCGCACTGTATCCGGTACAGACTGTATATTCTGTTCATCTATTTATTAAAATAAAATATCTACATTGACAATGGGGCCATCTAACCTGTCAAATTTTTGACACATATGTTTCCCCCAGAAACCCGTCAAGGTCACTTACACCAAACAAATTTTGAAAATTTACACTAGGGAGTGGTTCTATAGAAAAGATCGCGACTTTAGTTATAGTGCAAAGTCATTTAATAAATTCTCTATTAACTAACCTTGAGGCAAAATAGGGTTACACGAGTAGCAGTACTAACACCAAACGTCAGATTTAGCGGTACAGATCGTACAGATTAAAGGCATCAGCTGATCGGTCACACCAACTCAAAATTACAAGTTACTAAAAATTCCCAAGTAATACCAACCTCATTTTGACGTCACATGGGGCTGACACCTCTCCTCCCCCGTAAGCGATTTTGCCCACATACTCGTTTATGTGGTAACCTGTTCTCTATTAACTAACCTTGGTTATAGTGCATGTTCATTGATAAATCTGATTTTTTTTAGGATAAAAGTAATTAAACTTTGGAAAAAACTGCCACGGTGCCTAATTTAATGAAACATATCAAACTGTGTGAATTTTCTAGTAAAATCTATTGTCTCAATCCACGTACAATTAACTAAAACAATAACCAATAAATGTAAAATTCCCTCTTTGTAGCAATAATCCATTTTTTTTTTCGTAACTCGGAATGTTTAGGGAATCTAACAAATAATTTGTAAATTATGCGAAATCAATTGTCTGTATACATCATGTGATTATTACCTATTACTTTCTTTGCACGTTCTATGCAATTATACGCACAGTACGATTTCGCCATGTTTAACAAATAGTCCGATAAAATACAACCTAAGAAGATTGTACTAATTTGAATACGTGCAACTTGAGCATACTAAACTTAAATCTGCAAAAACACACCTTCAAACACCATGCGACAGCACGGAAAAAACATCCAGAAACACAATGCTGTGCAGTTTCGCGCCGATGTCTTGCCAACCAGAGAGTCCTATCTCTGTCCCACTGTGTTGACAACGCGCGTCTCTCTCTAAGTTACTTCCATATAATATTATTTCTATGCTAAAAACAAATCAGCGCCATTTGCGACGGGTCGGCAAACTAAAACTTACGCGGGTTTTTTAAAAAGAGAATTGACAAAAATTTTCCACTATGCGCGGGATTTTTAAATGTTTAAGAATCAATATCCTTTTAAAATGTTTTTATTAATCATTTTATTTTGGAAAAATTTATCTAAATTTATCGATCGTTTTAAGTGACCAATAAATTCTGATCGATTTTCCAAACTCACACGCCAAAATAAAATAAAACACATTTATGCTGTAAAAGAAGTCATTTTTATTGAAAATATAAGAAACTAAACAAAATTCGAAAATAATATCATAATAACAATAATAATATATTATGTGTAATATATGAATGTTTCTTTAAGTAACATGTAAATTTTGATGGTCAAAATAAATTACAATTACAATATAAAGAGGTGGCCCTATTACAACATAATCAATATATGATACAACGTAAACATAAATACAAAACACATAAACATAATACTTATATACAAAAATAATACATTTTCTAAAATAACATAAAAATAAAAGTACTTTATTTTCAAACGTCATATAACTGACACTTATATGACGTTCTTACCGGGGTTTAAGTGTCATTTCTATGACAGCGTTTCTGAGCGGCGTATAAATAGAACTTATACTCCGCCGAAGTATAAATATTTATGTGAAAATTATAGTGGTTGTCAACCATTGTAACCATGGTAAGTGAAATCAAGGCAATTCCTTAATGAAACAAGAAGATAGGAAATCATCATTTCAAAAGAAGATTAATCGTTTGAAAATAATAGATATTTATTTTCAAACGTCATATAAATGACACTTATATGACGGTCTTATCGGAGTTTAAGTGTCATTTCTATGACACCGTGTTTGAGCGGCGCATAAGTATTACCATGGCCGACTAGTATAAAGATTATGGCCTGTCCAAAGGAATGCCAAAGGTACCATACGTGCTGCCATCTATTAATAATTCAAAAGCGACAAAAGAATTATTAACACTTTTTGAAAGGCACAAAGGCATTCATACCGAAACAAACCACCATTACACGTTTTGAAGTCCCATAATGTCAAGTCAAATTAAAATTTGGCTAAATTATTAAGTGTAATTATTAATAGATGGCAGCACGTATCGTACCTCTTGAACAGGCCATAATCTTTATACTAGTCGGCCATGGTATTACTTATACTCCGCCGGCGTATAAATAAAACATTTATACTCCGCCGGAGTATAAATATGTGAAAATCATAGTGGTTGTCAACCATAGTAACCATGGTAAGTGAAATCAAGGCAATTCCTTAATGAAGCAAGAAGATGGGAAATAATAATCATTTCAAAAGAAGATTAATCGTTTGAAAATAAAATATTGTATTTCATTCGGAGTTTAAGTGACTTTATGTGACTCGTATGGACTTAATTCGCCTCGCTATTGCTCGGCGTTTAATCGTCCATACTCCGTCACATAAAGTATCACTTAAACTCCTAATAAAATAAATATCCACTCGAGCTATTTAGTGAATCCAACAAACTGTCAATCTTATGTACAAATTCCGCAGTGAAAATGGCCTCAGGTTCCAAAACTTTCAATGCAATGTACGTTTCAATTGCACTTGCCATTGAACTACTAAGCTGTGCAGCAGCAACCTTGACCTTCATTTTCACATAAGAATCTGCAAAGTTGAAGTGTTCCTCCCTTAATTTCGGCAATGATTTGAAAGTTTTCCTTTGGTGAAAATTGAAGGCATTCTTGATGTGTTCAAATTTGGCGCATTTGTGAGGAGCAAATTCTATTTTGCATTTTAACAATGCATTTCTGGTGTTTTTTAGCAGATGTGGCACGTCATACCAGTGGATATGTTACAGCTAATATCCGATAATTTCAGTTATTACGCATAATTCCTAATGTTTCCGGTTATTATGCATAATAACTGATAAGTTTAGTTATTACGCATAATTCCTAAAATGTCTAGTTATTATGCATAATAACGGATTTCGGATATTACCTGTAACAGTTGTTACCTTAAAAAAATTCGCCTTAAGTGTTTTTGAAAGTTACTGTTTCGATTTGGAGTCAGTTTTTGATAGGTTTCCCGATTCGTCGTACGTTATAGTCGGTGATTTTAATCTACCTCACCTCCTTTGGGATGATGATGATATTAAGATTTCTTCTCACATTAAATCTTATGAATTTTATGAGATTATCAAGACTACGTGTGCATTTATGAATTTAAGGCAAATTAACAAAATCCCAAATAGTAGAAATATCTTTTTTGATTTAGTCTTTTGCAATATTCCGAATCTTGTAGTTGATAAGGCGGTGGAATGTATATTACCTCAAAGTATTCATCATATACCGTATTCGTGGTTCGTTTCGTCTACTGCTGCCTTACATACAGAAATTTGTGTTTTTGACTTTGCAAATGGTCATTATGAGTGTTTAAATAATTTTTTTCTTCTATTGATTGGATTAATTGTTTAGTTGGTGATTCCGTAGATGAATTGGTAGCAATTTTTTATGAAGTTCTTTTTAGAGGTTTCGAAAAATATATTCCACGTAAAATTATAAAACGAAATGCAAGTACTTATCCCAGATGGTTTAATAATGAACTTAAAAGTCTTAAAGAAATCTGCTCATTTTAAATACAAAAAAATCTGGTACTTTGGAAGACTATCTTTATTTCAAATCTCTGCGTGCCCGTTGTAAGGAGCTTAGCGAACAACTTTATGCTTCTTACATTGCCAGTGTCAACAATTGCATTTCTAACGATCCTATTTTTTTTTGGAAATTTATACAAGACAGGAAGAATAGTGATTCTGGTATTCCTATCGAAATGTTTTTAGATCAGATATCAGCTAAAGGTGGCAAAGAAATTGTTAATCTTTTTGCTGAATATTGTTCTTCCGTCTATACTAAGGACAACGGTAATCCTGTGGATTGTGACTTTGAAACAACCTTGTGCGTTCATGATGTCAGTCTGGATATTAAAATTTCAGATGTATTTGATGGTATTTCAGGTTTAAAACAATCGTGCAATCCAGGACCGGACGGTGTTCCTAATATTATTTTACGTAAATGCAAATTCTCGCTTTGTCTACCTTTGTTCCAGTTATTTAAGAAGTCCTTATTGTCTGGTACATTCCCAAAATTATGGAAGAGCAGTTACATTGTTCCTATTTTCAAATCTGGAGAATCCAATAAAATAGATAATTATAGAGGTGTCTGTA